GACTTTGCATCTTTGAGGTTGCCATATCTGTAAAATGAAAATAAGTAAGACCTTCTTATCAGGTTATTGGGAAAGACAAAAGTTGTAAGGCCGATTGCCTTGCCGGGAGGTTGGAAACACCCACCTCTGCACCCGGCACCAGGCTCTGCACTCGGCACCTAGCTGTGCCGCATGGCTCCCCTGGAAGGCTCCAGCTGATGCAAGGCTCCTGGCCGGCTCTCCCACCGGAAAACCTGCCCAACAACCAGCCAACCAATAGCGGCCCGCCCTGTCTCAATCCCGCTCCCCTGGAGTCAATCAGAGCACCCAGCTGTTGCTCGGTCCTCCTAGCCATAAAAACCCATGCCCCAGGAAGTTGGTGCGACTTCCCTGGTCCCTTTCCCTGGGACCATGGAAACTCGCCCGGAAGCTGAAGCTAAATAAATTGGCATTTAATTTTCTTATGCTGGTCTCAGTTTCCTCATTCTAAACTCGGCAATAACCCTTGCAAAAGTGAAATAAGGCATTTAAAAGCACTTAGCCAGCTGCCTGGCACATAGTAAAGGCTCAGTAAAAGTGAGCGGGTTTGCATGACCAGAGCACATGGTAGCTCTACCCTACCATTAATTGAGTTAACTCAATTAATCCCTATTACATGACCTGCAGATTTCCTTTGTTGTACCACCTGCAGTTATCTTCTTTATTGACTTATTGGCCGTCCTGCAAGCAGAGAGAGACTGTAAGCCCCATGAGACAGGGGCACAGTCTCATTTATGGCTGGGTACTCAGGACCCTGCACAGAGCCTGGCTCAGGTTTATGAGATGAATGGGTAGGTGAATGGCTCGTGGATACTTTGTCTTAAAAGTATTAAATGAGGCCAGGTACTGTGGCTCACACCTGTAATCCCAGCACTTTGGGAGGCCAAGGTGGGCGGATCACGAGGTTAAGATATCGAGACCATCCTGGCCAACATGGCGAAACCCCGTCTCTACTAAAATACAAAAAATTAGCTGGGCGTGGTGGCACACGCCTGCAGTCCTGGCTACTCAGGAGGCTGAGGCAGGAGAATTGCTTGAATCCAGGAGGCAGAGGCTGCAGTGAGCTGAGATCGTGCCACTGCACTCCAGCCTGGCGCCTGATGACAGAGCGAGACTTTGTCTCAAAAAAAAAAAAAAGTATTAAATAAAGACATGTTTAACCAATATCTTTCACTTTATTCCGTCTTTGGTCTCAAATAACTACATTAGAATTCCTCTGCAATCCTCCTGCCACCAACAATTTCTCTTGTCAGCTGTTTTAGGCTACTCTGGAAGGAACCCAGCCTCCCTAACATGAAAAATGGGTACCCTGAGATCTATTTTATTTTATTTTTTTGAGACAGAGTCTTACTCTGTCGCCCAGACTGGAGTGCGGTAGTGCGATCTCAGCTCACCGAAACCTCCACCTCCCGGGTTCAAGCAATTCTCTTGTCTCAGCCTCCCAAGTAGCTGGGACTAGAGGCACCTGCCACCATGCCTGGCTAATTTTTGTCTTTTTAGTAGAGATAGGGTTTCACCATATTGGTCAAGCTGGTCTCAAACTCCTGACCTCAGGTGATTCACCTGCCTTGGCCTCCCAAAGTGCTGGGATTACAGGCGTGAGCCACTGGGCCCAGCCCCTAGATCTTTAAAAGCATGGAGTTATATTCTAGCTGTGGTCAGTGGACTGGAATGTCAGCCTCATACCTGGCATATAGGAAGGGAATTTATATGTTCTAGGGGTGTGGAGGAGGTAAGGGAGCTGAATTGGAGGGAGATGGGGAACAGTTTGGGGATGTATACAATCTTTGTGAATATCTTCCTTTTTCTTAGAGTTAGGCTGGACTAGGACGTTGCCTGCTTCAAGCAGCACCCCCAGGACTGCTGCTGGAAGGACGTCAGAGGTTCAAAAAATTTTCTGAAGATTTTTATGTCTCAAGGTATCCCAGCCTTCTCTGTATTTCCAGGAACCTAAGGTTATAGGGGCTGTGGGTGGGGATTATTAGGATATCAGAGAGGGTCCTCACCCAAACAACACGATGCCCTGAACTGAAGGCTTGTCATTTATCTCTGAAAGAAGCAAGTCAACACCCTTGATCCTCATCACAGCATAATTCTTGGTCCTTAGTGGCAAGGGTGACCTGAAAATGGGGACTTTCATAGCTCCGGAGCCAAGGAGGCCTTGACAATTAGGCAGGAAGAAGACCTGGCTGTCCATCCCATCTGATACCCTGACTTCCCAAGAGAACAATCCATTCTTCTCAGATTTCTCCCAAATCCCCCATTGCTGGACCTGGAGGCTCTCTCTGGCTCCTGTGATCTCTGGAGGATGCAGCCACGAAGCCTGACCTGACTCTTACTGAGCCTGTCCCAGGCCCTTTGCGTCTCGCTCACCTGGCTACTCCTCGTGGGCCCTACCCATCCAACAGACTGCACAGGTAGGCATGGCCAGGTTGCCTTCCAGGAGTCAGTCCCAACACTCATCAGCAAAAAGGGATCTGTGTCTAGGTGCCTGAGGCTGGTCCAAGTAGGATGAGAGTGCCAAGACCCCTCTCTCTCCTCCTGGGAGTGAACTGGTTTCTGACTTGATTTGTTTAAATTGGGAAGACGCCTCATCAGCAATGGGAGCGGTCTAGATCTCTGGAATCTGGCCACGGAGTGATTTTCCCATCAGCCTCTGTCTCTGTGACTGAGGACCTTGCGGCTTCTTCTTTTGCTTCTGACCCAAGGTCCCTCATGCACTTCTTCCAGCGTGCCAGGCAGTGATGGGCAGAGGAGCGGATTTCCCCACTCCGCAGAGCGTAGATGACAGGGTTGACCATGGAGTTGACAAGGCACAGCATGGAGCAGAAGGCGAAGGCCTTCTTGACCTGGTCGCTGAGTGTAGCAGCCAGGCTGTGGACCATGAGGGCCAGCACTGGGAACCAACAGATGAGGAGCACAGCCAGCACCAGCCCCAGGGTCTTCGCCAATCTCACGTCCAGCCTCATTCGGGTCATTCCTGGCACCTGCCTGTCCTGGTGCCCAGCTAAGCTGGCTACATGCTGATGGGCCTTCCAGAGAACATGTCCGTAGGTATAGATGATTCCAGAAAAGAGGAAGGCGATGAACAGGAGCCAGCCCAGCAGGTAGTCATTGGGGATCAGTGGGAAAAGCTCAGAGCAGGGCCTAGGACAGCAAGTCCATCCCATGAGGGGCAGGTAGGAGACTAGTGCTGAGAGGACCCACATGATGCCCAGGGTCACCAGTGCTCTCCCACGGGTGAGTAGAGCTTTGTAGGAAGGTGGGTAGCACAGGCAGAGGTAGCGGTCAACAGCGGTTAGCAGCAGGCTGCCCACAGAGGCTGTGAAGGTCATGGTCACGCTGCCAATCTTCAGCAGGAAGATAGCCTTGGAATCCATACCATGGAAAACATGGAAGTTCACAAAGCTGCATACAAAGACCACACTGGCCAGGAAGTCAGCTCCAGCCAAGCTGCCAATGAATAGGTATGAGGGCTTCCGGCGGAGCCGGTGGGAGGACAGGATCAGATAGAGCACAGCCACGTTCTCCAGGGCACTTAGCAGGCCCAGAAGAGTGCACAACACTGCAACAGCTATCTTCTGGGGACCACTCAGGATCATGTAATCCTTCATAGGGTTGGAGTCCAAGCCATCCATGGAGCCATTGGCTACCTCTGTCACCCAGCATCCCTCCATGGGATGGGCCCTTCAGATTCCACTGAGCTTGTCTAGAAGGCTTTGCTGCAGTACAATGAGAAGAAAATAATCTTTTTCAGTAAGCACAAGAATGATCTCACCTGATAACTGACTGTAGCCAAACTGCTACCTATATGGATGGATTCTATGTTTGAAAATCAGTTTCTGTTTTGTTCCCCTGTATTTTGCCCTTTCTCCATCCAAGCGGGAAGCCAGATCTGTCCTGGCTGCCTCAGGGGAAGGTATGTAAGAATGCAACAGCAAAAATGACCTGTAAATTTTTTGGCCTTTTGTTTTCCAAAAGACTAATCCTAAGACTTCCTTTTGAAGCAAGGGAAATCCCAAACGGTCAAAACCAAGAAGAAATAGAATCAGAGTGATAAGGTTGAGGTTTTTTCTTTTTTACATTTTGTTTTGTTTTGTTTATTTGCCAATTTTGGGAAGTAAAGTACTGAAGTACTATATGGGGATGGGAAATATTAATTTGGCTTCATACTAAGTGATGGGAAGATAAACTACGGAAGATTAAACAATTGTATTTATTTATTTATCATTTATTTATTTAGTCTTAGAAATTTTATAAGTAGAAAAATGTAAACCTACTTCATACTTTTTATTTTAAGATGTTATCTACTATGCTTTAAAAATTTTTTTAA